AAAAAAAAATTAAGAATAAATAACAATTCTATTTTCATTTTAATTTGTGTACACGTTGATGATTACTCTAATTCATTATTTTTTTTTGAACCGCTACTCTAATTCATTATTGCTAGGACTTAATTAGTTTTAGAAGGTTCTTTTGACACACCGTTTGACTGGATCCAGACAAAGTACTTAAATCTTACTATCATACTGAAACAAAACATTATGGTATCAATATTGATAGCTCATCAAAAACAAGGTTGAGGGATGGAGGGAATGGAATTCCCTATCTTTAATAAGAATGCGAGGAATTGATTTCTTTCTACTAACCAAGCTGTGGCATATATATCTTCAATAATGAAAATTTTGAAATGATAAAAGAGGTAGGCGTTTAGTTAATTCAATAAATGGAATGTTGCTTTCAGTTAATGGGTATCAAGAGCGGGGCTTTTACGAGAGCCACAAAAGGACTGTTTGGTGTATTTATGCCTGGGTGTAAATGTAGATGAGTTTTGACGCATTGAAAATGCTTGGAATTATTTTAAAATTTTTTTTTTTAAAAATTATGTATTTATGCCATCCATTCATATGTCATGATGATGTACAACCATTTTATAATTTCATTCTTCTAAATTCCAAAATTTTACCTCTATACTTCCTTGATTCGTAAATGTGCACCCCCTGCTTTTCTTTAATGAAACACACTCCTTATTATTAATCGAATTTTTTTATCCTATGTCTTTAGGGTGTATTAATTAACATTTTTACAATTAATTTACATAAATAAATGGAAATTAATTTTAAAATTTCTAACTATCTAATAAAAATCATCTATGTATCATTGATGTTAAAAATAATGTTTGTTTTTACATTTTATTATAAAAATTTATTATAAAATTGTGTAATAACTTGTGCTCTAAGAACAAAAAGTTAGAAAAATCCTTATTAATTTAGTTTGATATTAGTGTAGTCCATATTGTCCTTTCAAATCATTTTTTAGATGACTTGTTTGAAAACTCATCTTATAAGTAATATTTTTAAAAACTAGTTGTTAAATTAAATATTTTATCAGTATAAATCATACATGTTAGTTTTTGAATTTATTTATTATTTATAATTTTTTGATCAAATAAATTATATTTAATGGCATAGGTTTAATATT